CCTCTACTAAAATTGTGAATTTTATGACCCCAGGGTCAGGGGTTCTGGTGTTAGGGCGGGGCTCTATTGATTATATAGTGAAAATACATGAATTCTTTGAAAATCTTCTTCTCTGCTCCTGGGTATTAAATAAACTAACTAAGTATATAGTTATTATGAGCAAGAGTGCCTCTACCAAAATTGTGAGTTTTATGGCCCCAGGGTCAGGGATTCTGCAGTTAGGTGGGGGTCTATTGATTATATAGTGAAAATACATGAATTCTTTGAAAATCTTCTTCTCTGCTTCTAGATATTAAGGAGATGAACTACCTATATAGTTATGAGCAAGGGCCCTTATCTTCCAGAATTGTGAATTTCAAGGCCTCAGGGTCAGGGGAACCATAGAGGGGGCTGTACTTATATACTGAAAATGAATGAATTGTTTGAAATCTGCTCCTTGGTATTAATCAAATATTTTTGAAAAGCAAGGATGCCTTTTCAAAAATTGTGCAATGTGTGGATCTAGGCCTTAGAGTCAGGGGTTCATGTGTGGTTGGGGCACTACTGATTATTACTGAATATCACTGATTAGTTAAAATGCATTTTTGTTCCTCTACCCTGCCATTGGGTATTAAGTAACCAAACTAAGCAGATGCTAAGTGTATAGTTATGATGATCAATGGTGTCTCTTTCAAAATTGTTAATGCCATAGCATCTGGCTTAATACATGAATCAAATTCAATCACTGGAAAGTTGTTGCATAATGCTCAGGTGACCTATAAGGCCCATTGGCCTCTTGTTTCTCTAAGGGTTATTTGTTTGTTATCTTTTGTACTGAGTACTCTTACATACATTTTAAATAATTGCAGTGATTCTTAGAAGCATAACTTAATAAGTATCCATTTCAGATATGAGAAGACTAAAGAGAGAAATGAGAGTCTTGTGAAGTTTTTAAAATCAGGTGAAGTAAAGGTATGTAGATTGAATTACATGTATCAATGTAAGTGATGAACCATTTATTATTTAAAGCATGAAGTGAAACAACCCAAATTACTTATCAATTACTATTATCCTTGGTGATTATAAGACAATTCTTTTGTCATATTCTGTTAGAATGTTGTAAACCTTTTGTATTTATTTCTGTACAGTCTTATAATATTAAAACAATATATGCTAGATTTTCTAGAAAGTACTACATTGTACTTTGATGTTATTTTTGTAGCAATATCTACTAGATATCTATATCAAGTACTACTTTGATGTTATTTTTTGTAGCAATATCTGTTAGATATCCTTAGAGAGTACTACTTTGATGTTTTTTTTTGTAGCAATATCTCCTAGATATCTATATCAAGTACTACTTTGATGTTATTTTTTGTAGCAATATCTGTTAGATATCCTTATAGAGTACTACTTTTATGTCATTTTTGTAGCAATATCTGCTAGATATCTATATTAAGTACTACTTTGATGTTATTTTTTGTAGCAATATCTGCTAGATATCCTCAGGGAGAAGAAGAAGAGTGAGAAACATACCACATACAGATACGGCCTATCTTAGGCGAGGGACATCTTTTGTAGCAATATTTCTGTTAGATATCCTTATAGAGTACTACTTTTATGTCATTTTTTGTAGCAATATCTGCTAGATATCCTCAGGGAGAAGAAGAAGAGTAAGAAGCATACCACATACAGATACGGCCTATCTTAGGCAAGGGACGTCCTTAAGAACCCGGGGTTTGGACCAATCGCTGACGAGGACCAGGTGGGTTCAATGATACAGTGAGTTTAATAATGGGGGGGGGATGCCAAAATTTTATATTCTGGCATCAAATGGATTTTTAGGTCACCTGAGTAAACTTAGGTGACATAAATTTGTGGACAGCTTCCTTTTCCTATTCAGTCTGCAGTCAAATTCGTACTATTTTGATAACCTACATGTAATTTTGTGGTTTGTCTTAGCAATGAAAACTAAATAAAATTAAGAGTTGCACTAAAAATGATGAACCTGTAGTGTAAATAATTTTGGATATTGTGTAGCAGTTCAAGGTTTTCTTCTTTCTTTTCAAATTTAAGGAAAAAAAATCACAAGGCTTTTAAATATTGAACAAAATATGATATACTTATTACACAAGTATTTTCAGATCTTGTTGTTTTTTTTTTTTTTTTTGGATATTGTGAAGCAATAACAGTTTTTCTTCATTCATGATTTTAGAAAACATTTCTTAATGCTTCTATGTTGAGCAAAATATGATATACATATACTTTACACAAATGTATTTAACCATATCTTGTTTTCTTTTCAGCATGATGACATTTTGAACACCATGTTGGCCTGGTACAAACAGGAGACAAAGGTTGCTAGTGATGAGTTCCCTGACTGGAACTACGTCCTGGATGTTTGGATCCCAGAGGTGAGTTTTATGTCTAATATAACTTTGTATTGTCAATAAGGGATTTAATCTATTGTATTATTTTGTAATTGATGTACTTAAGAAGTTTATTTTTCTTAAATATTAGTATGTTTTAGTCTTTCCACTAAAACTGTAAACATAATGGAATTTTCAATGGGGAAAGAGACAAGTTTATATTTACACACTCGTGCATAGAAGTTGGTGTACAGGGAGTTATTAAGCCCAAAGTCAAAAGAGAAATTCAGCACAATCAGAATTGCTTCTGAAACTAGCTTCATTTAATTACGAAGTACAGGTAACAATGACTCTTGAAGCATTGTAGGCCATAGTGTATGCCATAATAAGGTTGAAGAAGTACACTCGTAAGAAGGCGTGGCAGCGGTTTGAGAAAGGAGTGTACATAACAAAGAAAGAGAGAGCGGAGGTCTACAAGTCGAGAGTACTGGAGAGCGCTAAAAGGATATCACCCGAGGACGTACAGAGGTACAAGGAGAATCTAAAGGACAGGATGAACGTCATCTGTCAACGGAGTGGACTCCAGAATATCATATTGTGATTACGATTTACAGGACAGAATGAATGTTATCTGTTAAAGGAGTGGACTTCAGAATATCATATTATGATTACGATTTACAGGGCAGGATGAAAGGCGCGGACTTCAGAATATCATATTATGATTACGATTTACAGGGCAGGATGAAAGGCGCGGACTTCAGAATATTATATTATGATTACGATTTACAGGGCAGGATGAAAGGCGCGGACTTCAGAATATCATATTGTGATTACGATTTACAGGACACGATGAAAGGCGCGGACTTCAGAATATCATATTATGATTATGATTTACAGGACATGATGAATGTTATCTGTTAAAGGCGCGGACTTCAGAATATCATATTGTGATTACGATTTACAGGACATGATGAAAGGCGCGGACTTCAGAATATCATATTATGATTATGATTTACAGGACATGATGAATGTTATCTGTTAAAGGCGCGGACTTCAGAATATCATATTGTGATTACGATTTACAGGACATGATGAAAGGCGCGGACTTCAGAATATCATATGTGATTACGATTTACAGGGCAGGATGAAAGGAGCGGAGTTCAGAATATCATATTGTGATTACGATTTACAGGGCAGGATGAAAGGCGCGGACTTCAGAATATCATATTGTGATTACGATTTACAGGGCAGGCTGAAAGGCGCGGACTTCAGAATATCATATTGTGATTACGATTTACAGGGCAGGATGAAAGGCGCGGACTTCAAAATATACTATGATAATGAGAGAATGAAGCGGCGAAGGATCTTATGGAAAACCTCATCAATAGGCAATATGGAAAGGGAAATAAAGGAAAGATCCATAAAAAAACTTGTCATCTTATGTTGACTAAGGTACATGATATGCAGTTGCTCATCAAGTATCAGCTCAGGGGACTCCGAATGACCACCACTTTATGATGACTACCGTGCGCTATACAAGGACACGAGTTATTCAAGAATGCACCACCAAAGTAGGGTCTCTTACATCAGGCTTATCATCATAATGAGAAGAAACTACTGCATATAAATTATTGTTTCAGATTTAAAAGCAATTGTGAAAAATCAAACAGTATAGCAATATTTCCTGTGTTGTCTTTAATGAACTGTTTTCAATGCATATGAATTTTATGGGGAAGAAATTAATTCACATTCATTTGCTCATTGCATTTGATTTTAAGAGAGATAACTCTGCAATGAGATCAATCAATTATTCATTTATAAAATTTCTGTCTACATCAATGTTTTAAATCAAATTTTGATCTCATATTATTAATCTATATATTTTGAGAAGAAATTGTTTTATTTCTCATAATATTCATCGGAGATGGAGGTCTCCCTTTTTTTAACTAGGAGAGATATAATTGTATATCATATCTTAAGGTTTGTGGATGTAGTTGCTACATATGTATATTGTATAAATATGATTACATGTATTTGGTTTGTGCAGCTAGAAGCTAAAGCAAATTATACAGGGAGGAAATCCCATGTCAGTAAAATTACTTATTTACTCTGATTAATTTTTAATATATGTTAGAAAGGATTTTTGGTGTAAAGCATTTGGTGCAGTCAATTATTAATGTTAAACTGATGAAATTTCAATTAATTTGAGATTTAATGTTTGAAATTTCCTTTATTTAATGAAATTATAACAAGAAAAAATTGGTTGTGATTTTAATCATGCTTTACAGGCATTTAGTTTGACAGAGATGTAGAGGGCTATGATAAAATTTATGGCAATAGTCTAATATATTTGTTAATTATTATGTAAATAGTTTGATTTTGTTTATACAAAATTTTAATTATGTTTTAATTGTTATATAGCTTTTATATGTCAGGACAAATGAAAATAAAAATCGGTCCTGCTTCATGGCTTTTTCTTTTAAAAGAGGGCATGCAAAGATCATGTTTTAGTCTATCTGTGAGAAGGAGGGATAAAAACATGGTGATCATTTATTGTTTAACGTTACTCTGGGGAATTTTTCACTCATATGGGACATCACCACTTGCAGGTGGAGAAACGCAAATTTTGTCTTATACTCAGCACTAGGGGTCATTGAGTACTGAGGGATTTTTATATTGCCAGCACCTACTGCGACACTGGACCTTCGTTTTTGCTGGTCTCATCAAAAAGGACAGGTCTCCACATCTCACAGTGGATTTAAACCCGCAACATATGGATCAGCTCCTTTCTCTGCATCTCTAGGGCAGATGATCTAACCACTTGATCTGTAGAGACCATAATGATTGCAATGATATTTCTAATATACGTGCACAAACTCAAACTTGCCATTACCTTGTGGTAAAATTTCAAAGCAAATTGGGTGTCTAGTCTGACACTTTATCTTCATGATACATGATTACTGTATACAGGGACATTTTTGCCCCCGTTTTATTTTTGTCCCTTTCGCCGAAGCCTCTATTGGGCGAATTTAAAATGCGGCGAATTCAAAGATTACAGTATCATTTCTTAAACAAAACTATACGTGGGCAAATTTAAAACGGGACAAAATTGTTTTCAATCGTGAAAGGGCGAAAACAACCCATACAGTATGTACTTCATCAAAAATTAAGAGAGTTCTTTATGTCTAATGGAAAACATCACAGAAGATGAAGATGTTCTGCATGATACCCTGAATCCACAGTCACTGAAACATTCGTCAAACTGTATGGACTCTGAAGAGGAAAACAGTAAAACAGATAACAAGCAGTTCACTACCAATGATGATGGGAAAAGGTAAACAGAAAAAGAAGACATTATATTTCACAGAATGTTTTATTTTAGTGAAATTTAGTAAGGTTCATTTAAATGATTTTTTCATCCAGAGAGAATTTGACCCCAATCTAGATGCTGATGACTGCTACAGTGATTCCGATGATGACGATTTACCAGATGTACTTACTCCATATAGACAAGGTAAGATCACGTGTCTTGTTTTTTGCATCTTCTTTTACAAAATTATATACAAATGTCTGAGAAAGAAGTTCATGTGGTCTGTTAATACCCCAAAGTGACCAATGTAAAGTACGAAACATGAATAGCAAAGAGGATCAATGCAGCCCTTTTGAAGAGCTCTAAACTTTTACTATGATCCCAAAACTCTGCTACTTTCTTACTATTCTGTGGTCCTTTTCACAAAGAATCATGACTCACTGGCAAAGACTAAAACTTTTCCCCATTTTTAAACTACGGTAATTGTCTAAGCTGCAATAATCATTTTTTACTATTTTATTATATCAATTTTTCAGAATTAAAGTAAATTATTTAGAAAAAATATATTTAACCATGTTTATAAAATAGATAATTTCAGAATGGTGAAACTTAAGTCTGTTTATGGGTAGTAAGATTTTTTGTGAAAAGGCTCACAGAACATTTCTCACCATGACTAATTGTTTAATTAATTATATACTGTAGATCACTAAATTTTTGCGAGACCTTATTTTCGCGAAATAGTCATTGACTCTTGATAAGCGAGACAAAATTTTCATGAATTGTGGTTATTTCTCTATATAATCTTAAGGAATGCTATTATACGCAAAAATTAAATTTTCACGAGCACACTGTCTCAGGAAATTGCGCGAAAATTAAGTTCTCGCGAATAAAAAGTGATTTACAGTACTGTACATGCACATATTTTGGCATGTTCAAAATTTAGTGCAATCGATGGGTATGGAGTTGATGGCGTAATCATGAATTAGCGCTACACATGTTCGTGACGTATATTCTGTTCCACTCTTTTTAACAGTAATGTCCCTTGGCCGCCATCTTTTGAGAAATACCCATAGAATCCTCACAGTAGCCTTTATTGTTTTCTGGGGGGGGGGGTCGTAACATAAAAACTGCTTGAGTCTAAGACCATACTTAAGTAAGACATAAGTACATTATTTGTCTTAAGTCCGTATCATAAACAATGCTAAGAAATACAAATATTAGCAAAACTTAGTACTTAAGTCAAAAACTTAGCATGCTTTATGTTACGACCCCCTGGTTTGTAACTTTTTCATTTGACTTGAAAAATTATGTGCATCTTGTATAATGTATAATGATTGCCCAAAAACATTAAACACTGTGGATTTATTGGAACACACTCAAATGTTTAGTAGTATATAGAGTAGAAATGCCATTTATTTCCCTTTTGGCCTTCTGGTTGACCCCGCAAAGGGACATAACTATTACAAAGTGTGGATAAGACTATTTGTCAATTAATTCTTAGCGATATTCATGAATTAGTGCATCCTTGTCTGCGCCAAAGCCACTAAAATATGAAGCCCGCTTTTTTGAGTACACATATAGTACTTGGTTACAATGTTTCGCTGGAGTCATGGATTGTTTTCAAAATTTTGAATGAAAATTTTTCTGGGCACAATAGTTGCTTCATAGTATTGCTGTGACATCACAGTGATATTGTGGAATCATTTTAATGGTTCTCCACACATCCCCAGCTCATGTTCTCATATCACTGTCTCTTTATTGAACATGTACATGTACATGAGCAAGCTTATATCTGAGAGCCTTAAAACTAGTCTGGATTTTAAATATGATTATTATACCCCCACTCTGAAGGAGAGATGGTGTACTTTTTAACCCAAGTGTGTCTGTCTAGCTGTCTGTCTCTCTTATGTCTACATGCAGTGTCTATTATTCTTAAAAAAAATTTAAAATCTGCTGTTTTTATTGAAAAAAATGGACACATTTTTGGGGTTCTCACCATTTTTTATGCCATGTGTTCCATTGCATGTTTATGATTAGGGTGTCGCTCTAAATACTGTAAAATCACAAATTCGTGGGGTCAAATTTTCGAGGTTTTAGGGAGAAATTTTGGTTTGTGGGGATTTGAATTCTTGGATGGAGAATTAATATTTATTAGTAATGCATATCAAATTTTATATTTTGTGGTGGTCTTGAATTTGTGGGTCTCTCCAAACCTTGAAAAACAACTAAAAACCCCCTACGAACGTTAGTGATTTCAAAGTATACTGCATATTTTTCCCATGACAGAAACCTTCATTTTAAATCATTTATAACTACTATCTTTCTTATATCAGTTATTTTTATAATACTTTATTTATAACTTATATACAAAACAGCACAGTTTTACATCTTACTGCAGATATTTAACTTTCTTCACTTGTTTGTTTCCATTTTGAGCAACGAACAAATTCGCAATTGTATCTGTACACAGTCCCCAGGGATCACTCAGTCCACAGTCTATATAACGGAGGAACTGTCCATCCTGGTCTATGATGTGGACACAGTGATTGTCATAATCAGCTGTAAGGATGTGACTCTGACTGTCTGTCGTGATTCCTACTGGACGGAATGGTTCATTCTTTGGAGTAGGAGTATGTCCAGTGTACCTGAATCTTAGTTTCCCGGCCTGATTGACCACCACTACTGCTCCAGCTGCAATGTCAGACACACAAATATCCAGGTTCCTGTTCTCAGTAATGTATCTGTAATAAGGACCAGATGAATAGAGAGGTTTACGTTTATCATCAAACTGAATGGTTTGTTTCT